AGAATTTATTTTATTTTATTAAATTAAAATTTATTAAAATTAGTAGAATTGATTTTATGTATAAGTTTAATTCCCTGTTAATTATAATATTATAATGTATAATAATATATAATTATATTTGTTTGTTAAACTTAATTAAATGAAATTGGCATTTATTATAATTCAAAAAAAAGCTTAAATTATTGTAAAAAATCACAATTTAGCTTGAATAACAAGTTACTGTCAAATGTTCAAAAAGAAAGGTCATGGGAGTTCATCAGTAAATACAGCAAATATTAAGGACCAATTTATCCGTGGATCAAACTTAATAACCGTCTACGTAAAAGCATTTAGTGTAAGTTAAATTGAATTCTATATAAAAGCTACCAAAATAAAAGTTATACACGAGGCTTTACATTGAAGAATACATTTTTTTTACAAACGCATACTTTTGAGAAAAATATCTAGAAATAAAAGAACGCTTACCGAGCCAGAGCCTCCTGAAAGAGGCCATGTATAAACAACGGGTTCAGCACCCGCAGGACTATGTAAACGCAGTTCCATTTTACTGAGGTAATCCACTAGTTTTATAGCATTCTTTAAACCAAAACATAACAAATGTTTCACTCTTCGAACCTCACAAATGGCATTTTAAAACGCCCGTTCGCGTAAGCTCACCACCTCACTTCACGCCATTTTGGAACGGTCGTTGTTCTCTCTACAAAATGGCAGAACAATTTTTCATCGCGCATCAAAACTGCGCAGGTTTACCAACACGCATGCCGTTTAAATTTTTGCTTTAACTTCATAGTATAATTATATAAAATATATTTAAATTTATATTTTATTAGTTTAAATAAAATTCATTTATAAGAAATTTTTTGTAACGACAATTATAACATATTATAAATAAAAACATTTTTACCTCGAAGGAATTTATTACCTCGTGAATATATTTATTCAAAAATTATATTTACTCCATAGATACTTTTCAATCTTACATTAAAAATTAATGAAGAACAAAAGTAATTCATGAAGTTTTTTTAAAAAATTAATTTTGTTTTTCGTTATTTTTTGCTTTTTTATGTATTAATCGAAGATGATAGATATACTGACATTAATTTCCAGTTAAATTGCATTAAGTAGATTAGTGAATGAACGAAAAGTACTTTTCATTCAAAAATTCAATTAATTTGCAATGCTACTACATTTAACTAATAACTTACTTTATATACTCTATGAAAAAAATGTTTTTTCCCTTTTTGAATTGAAATTTTCTGAGTGTTAAGAAAATTCTTTTAAAAAATTTAATTGAGAAATATTATTTATTATTTAGAAAAACTTAAATTGTTTCTCAAAAATATGCAAAGGGGTTCACGTACGTTTCTAGTATTGTATAAGTATATTTTGTTTTATTTATTTTAAAAAATAATTAATAAAAACATTTCTGAAGTAATAATTATAGATTTTGATTAAATTTAAAAAATTGACTTCAGTCTTGCGGTACTATGAAATATGTAAAAATAATATACAAAAAAATAAAAAGAAACTATGTGTGAAATTACAAAAAACTTTATTTTTTGTAAAAATTATTTCGGTATCACTTTTTTATTTTTTTTACTGTTTACTTTCTTCGTCAAAACTTTTTTTTTGGATACAGGCAAAACTTTTTTATTGGCTTTAGTTTTTTTTATAATCTTAGATTTTTGTTTCTCTAAATAGTTTCCTAATAACAATAATGCTTTTTTGTAAGTAACTTCATATTGCTCTAATTCTTCGACTTCAAAGTTAAAAACGTCTACTGAATTTTTCCCAGCAGCAGATACCATTTTATTAAATGACGTCACCTAAAAGCAGTAATTTTTTTAAAAAGACAAAATTTACACAAAATAAAAAAAAAAAACAAAACAAAAAAGTGTTATATTTATTACTTCTTTCGATGTAAGAAATGCTAATGAATGTCCTTCTTTCCCGGCACGACCAGTACGACCAATTCTATGAACGTAGGTTTTGACAAATTTAGGACAATCGTATGAAACAACATATTTCACATTTGGGATATCAATACCTCTGGCCAACGCGTCAGAACTAATTAAACTGAAATAAAACATAATACCCATAATAGTTATGTACTTAATGATGAAATATTAATGATACATAAAAATTTAAGCAAAAAATAACTTACATATCTACTTTGCCATTTTCAAAATTTTGCAGAATACGATTCCTTTTGCTCTGCACTATGTTTGCTGATAATTGTTGCACAGTATATTTCTTTTTACACAGTTTTTTTAAAATAAAAGCTAATTTAAAAGTTGCAGCAGAAGAGTTGACGAAACATAAAATATTTTTCCAAGATTTGCTTATTAATAAATGATGCAACAAAAGTGGCTTATTTACTTTCGAACAAACAGTGTAATATTCTTTCAGTTCAGCAGGTGTAGTATATTTACCAATAAATTTTGATTCATCATTATTATCTAAAAATTGAAAATATTTTAAACATAACATACAACAGATTTTTTTTTTTTTAAAAGTTTCTTTTTAATAATAATTTACTTACTTTTTTCTGTTGATTTACCAGATTCGACCACCGATGTAAAAAGTCTAGGATGAAATAATCCCAAAGCTTGAAGTTTTTCAGGATCTTGAGATAATGTAGCAGAAAATAATAGCTTGTTAGGAGGTCTTTTTTGATTTAAAATATTATTGTAACTTACTATCGGAGCTTGATATGATTTGCAGCATTCTGAAAAAAAAAAAAAAAATTAAAATTAGAACAGAGTTTCATTAGTTTTAAAAAATTTTAAAAAAAATTAAATACAACCTGAATTTATATATTTGTTAAGATGATACAGCCAGTCATTTTGAACATTTTCCATGACCCTATCAGCTTCATCTATGACCAAGTATTTTAATTCGGAGAAATTCAATTCGTTTGTTTTTGTCAAATGTTCTACCAGTCTACCGGGAGTGGTTACTATTATATCTGTTAAAGAATGATAATTTCCTAAATCATCTGAAAGTAAAATGAAAAATTATTTCTTCCAAAAAAAAAACAAACAATATTTTTAAGATATGTCATTTAAATAAGTATATATTCTTAAAAATAAAATTTATAAATAAATAAAGACTTTAATTGTTGATTTTTAAAAATAAAACACTTACCAAATTTATATAATAAATTTTGTTCTGCAGTAAAAGATCTTTTAGGGGTAAGCAAGAGTACTTTAAGATCAGTTGGTTCAGCATATGTTTCAAACACTTTAAAAACTTGATTAGCTAAATCTTGAACTGGTAATACTACAAGTGCTCTTATTTTGGGAATAATTCTCTTGTACAATACTTGCAATATTGGCAGAACAAAAGCAAGAGTTTTTCCACTTCCTGTTGGAGCAGAAACACAAATATCATTTGGCCATAACAAATATGGCTTTCTTTCGTTTTCTAAAACACATGGAATGACTTGATGTTGAACTGTAAAAAAAATTTAAATGAAAGAAAAAATAAGTTAAAATGCAATAAATTAATTTTCAATGAAGGAAATCCAATTTTAATACAAATAAATTTTCTATGGAAAAACAAACCTGGAAAAAAATGTGTTATTCCATTAGCTCTCAATTTATCAATAAAAATTTTATCTAATCCTGAAATAGAATCTATTGTGTAATTTAAATTTTTTAAATCTACCGAAACAACAGATGGATTTGATAACCAATCTGGAAGTTTTCTCTTGACTTTTTTTTTATCGTTCATGCAAGCATTTTTTAATATAGTAAATGCATTTTGATTTTCAATGCCCTTGTTTGATATTTCATCTGATGCTTCATTTAAATCATCATTGGGGTGAGCAGCATTTGATTCATTTTCATTTACCTCTAATTTACTTTCATTTGATTCTATTGGGCTATCTAAACTGGAAGACTTTTTTTTTTTCTTGGCATCTGCATTATTATCAATCTCAGTTGTTTTATCATCATCTTCTATAATACTTTCATTATTATGTTTTCTTTTTTCTATTTTCTTCAAAAGTTTTTTTTTTATCTTTTCAGAATAATTAAGGGAACTTTTTGTGTCCTCATCTTCTCCAGTATATCTAGAAAAAATAATAAATATTTTTTACAAAATAAAAGTTTCATTTAAATGCAACATTGGCAATAATAAATAAACATTATAATATACATTCAATATCATAAAATTATTTTCACAGTTTAAGTTGTGGTATTCATTGTAATAATAATTTTTTTTAAGAAATTAAAAGTTTACAAAGTAAATTTTAAATAATATAATATTATTATAATAGTAAATGGGTTGTTTACATAAAATAAGAAAACATAACCTCAATCGTCCGACAGTAATACATAAAAATAAACTTTAAAAAAAAATTATAATTATTAAATTATAAAATTTTAAATTTTAAATATTTAGTAAATATACCTATTAATTTGAAAAAGCTCCATTGAGCCCAATTAAATAACATAAAAATTAATGCTAACTTTCTATCACGTTTTTTTCTCTCTATGTACTTTCTTTTACAGTGGCAGCAGAATTGTCTTCTGCTTTTAACCGATTCGAATGATAATAAAAAAAGGCGGGAAGTTATTATTAAAAACGAGTTTCTATATTATTTATTTTCAAAAATTAAATTAAAATTTATTTATTAAAGAGGATTTCTAATAACCGTTTTAAGTAAGTTTTTTTTTCCTTCATCACTTAATAAAATTTTATTTTTAAATAATTTGATTGCGTAACATTAATTAATAACTTAAATAATTAAATTCATCATACAAAATGCTTCAAGTTTTCATTTATGCTGTTTATACTATAAAACGTCCAAAATTATATTTACATTTTGTTTATTATTTGATAAATTATTTATATGATAAATTAATTAATTTTACATAATTTTTTAAAATCTTTTCGTTGTATAAATAAAACAATATGTTAACGACTTTTTTTGTTTTGTGGAAACATTTCATATGAATAACAGATATAATACATGTTTACATTATAAATTTAATTTCTAAAATTCGGTTACTGTTATTTATATTACATATTTTATTATAAATAAATGAAAAATTTATTTATAATAAATATGTACAATGTATTACAATTCATCATTTTAAATCTTCCTGCAGAAATATAAAAACAATTGACAATATTTTATAATTTCTAAAACATTTTAACACATTACACACTTTTAGATAAAATCAATTAAATTGATTAAAATTGTATAAAAGTTTATCATAAAAAAAAAAAACAAAACAATAAACAATAAAAAGTTATTAAACTGTTGAAAATAAATACAAAATTTAAAATAAAAAATCGGCAGTAAAATAAAATTACACCAATGTTAAGGACGGAAGGTTTTTTTTTTTTTTTTTTTTTTTTTTTTTAATAAAAAAAATAAATAATAAAATTAATTTTAAGTAACAAAAATAAATAATGTGATTTTATTACAAAATGCATTATTTGAATTATTTACAAAATAAAACTTAATGTCAACAACAAAAATTATTTAATTAATTAAAAAAAAACTTAATGATATGCACAGTAATGCATTTTTTATATTAATTAAAACTCTTATTTTGTAAAAATACAAACTACTCAATAACTTTAATTCTTTCAAATTTCAAAAACAAAAACAAAAATTTTATTTTAAATATCATTAAAATTAAATTTTAAAAATAAAACACAACAAAAACAAAACTTTTATTTATTTATTTTATTTTATTACTTTAATGTTTCTTTTTACACTAATTAAAAATTATGTCTGTGCAAAATGTTTATTTTAAATAATAATAATTAAATTTGATTGTGATATTTAAATTAAAATTAATTAAAATATTAACCTTGCATTATACAATTTTTCAAAAACATACTCTTTACATGTTCTTCTGTTTAATTTTTTTTACAATAATTATAAAAATTATTATTATATTTAATTGATATTATTATTTTATAATTGAAATATATTTTTTATATAACATTTTTAATTATTAAGAGTTTTTTTAAAAAGAAGCACTAAAAACAAAAAATTGATATAAAAACCGTTTCAACTGTTTTTGTTTACTTTAAAAGAAAATAGTTTTGAATTTTCACTAAAGATGTCAGGAGGTGTAACCTATAATTTATAATATATATTTTATAATATTAATTTTATTAAAAAATAATTTATTAACAAGGGGGGGGCATGAAAACTTATTGCAAAAGTTGAAAAATAATTTTTTTTTTATGTGATTATGTTTAATTTCATTATGAGATCGAATCGTGTAATATTGCCTTAAACATTGCCTACAACTCTTTAGATTTGTAATTAAAAAAAAAAAAATTTTCCATTGTAAAGAAAAGAACAAAACAAAACAAAAAAAAATTATTTTTAAGATAAAAAAAATTGTAAAAAATCAAATAATTTTTGTTCAGACCGGTTAATGCCACGACAATAACAAAATACAAAATAATTTCAATTTATAAAAATTTATTAATAGAAAAAAAATTAATTAACATTAAAATTTATAATTTTTTTTTTTTTAAATAAAATGTTAATAAAAACAAAACAATATTTTTTTTGTTATAATAATAATAATAAATATCATTATAGTTAATAATAAATATATTTTTTACATAAAAATTTAAATTTGTGCCATCAAAAACCAAAAAAAAAAAAAAAAACATTTATGTATATATATAATTTTTCCCCATTAATTTTTTTTTTTTTAAATAAAAACAACCTAATAATAATAATACCTATGCTAAACAATTGGTCTGTGAGCCACATAAATTTTGCTCAAAATAATAATAATAAGAATAATAATAATTTAAAAACATAAAAACCGTTTTAATAAAATACTATTGTCAATTTATTTAAACATAACATTTATAAAATTTTAATAATTTTCATATGATAATAACGTGATATCGATTCTTTAAAAAAAAAAAAAAAATTCAATTGCAACGTTTTTATTCGAAAGCCAATAAAAACATAAAATAATAATAATAATTATTGATTTTATTATTATTATTATTATTAATATGTAATAAATATGCTTAAATATCAATTTTATTAAATATATATATATGGCAACACTAAATTATTAAATTCTTAATTTTAATTTATTTTTCGCGTATCTAAAAAATTTATTTATTTATTTTTTTTTGGATAAATCATAATTAATTTGACATTTATTTATTTATTTATTTTTATGATAAAAAATATTAAAAAAATAATTGAGCTTAATCAAATTTATTATTATTATTTTTCTTCTTCTTCTTCTTATTTATTTATTTATTTTTTATTTTTTAATAACAGGAAATAGAACCTTAACTTATTATTTATTTTTTAAATTACTTTTCCATAAGTTGATCTTAAATTTTTTCATATTAAATCATTTTATTATTATTATTATTATTATTATTATTATTATTTATTAACACGTAATAATAATTTCGAAATAAAAATTTTTCAACTATTATTATTTTTATTTTTATTTTTTTTTTACAATTACACGCAGCTTTTCGACATAAAATTATTAATTATTATTATTTATTATTATTATTATTATTAATATTCAAATTTTTCTGAGCAAATGCTTATTATTTATTTATTTATTTATTTTATATTAATTCGTCTGAAAATTAAATAATAAAAAAAATAATAATAATAATAATAATAAAA